TCCTCATGTAATATCTATAGATCTGTATTAGCATCTTTTACTGACCTAGCATCTCAAACATACTGCATTGATGGACAAGGCAATGCCATACTCTGAGATTTACAGTTTAGCTTCTGCGTACTTTCAATCTCATGTCAGGGCACAAGCAGGTTGTTGGTGGCTCACATGCTCACCATTTTTGTTACTGTTAATAATTCATAACTCTGTTATAAATCAGGCCAGCACTTGTGTCTAGTCAGTGTTGTCACAGACTGTTTTGAGACAGGGACCACATTCATTTGTTAATACAACAGTTTCTCAAATCTTAAACCTTTGTTCCATTTCCTGATATTGTTCTTAGTACTACCATCAGTGTAATACAAGCTAAATATGATCTGCTGTTTCCTGCTCCAGGAAGATATTCTAATATCAACTAATATGCAAAGATTTCTCCACTTGGTCTTGGATTTATTTCTGGAAATACTGCTATTCTACATGCATTACACAGGTGAAGAGCTAGCAGAAAGATTGCAGAATCCTTCTGCCTTGTCATCTCATTCCTGGTCTCCTGGTGCTAAAAAGGTTCAAACACTTGAATCATAGAGAGAGGTCTGAAACCCACGCAAGGAAAAAAAAAAGGGTGAAGCACTGCGGTCATATCAGCACACTCCTGAAGAATAAGAAGATACAGAAGAAAATAATCTCTTTTTAATAGGTAGAAATTTACAGTAGATGGCTGCAGAATCCTTAAAGCACTATTAGGGATTTTAAATTATTACATCTAATGATCCATGTAGAGATCCAATTTGTCAGGGTAACTGTAGTAATTACATGCATGGTTTGAATCTAAAACCTGTGTCTTGCCTTTCATTAAGCTTTATTGTTTAAAAATTCACCTCAGGCTGAGCTGCAAAAATACGCTAGAAAATGCAGAATGACTTTACACTAATTTAATGTACATTTCAACTTTTTAACCTTGAGTTTATGAGACTCCAGAACGCATATTCTGCTTGATCTTTCTTCATTGTTAGCCCCATTTCTAAATGCTAAATTGTCATAATTTGTTATGGTTTGAGACGGGGATAATCTTACGTTTTGGCAGATTGAGGTTCAAGAGCATTTGAGTCCTTTGCCACTGGGAGTCAGGATTTCCTAACACAAGCAAGTTCATGTTAAACAGTGCTAGGAGCCAGTCCTTATTCTTAACTGTGAGGGGAAATACCATCCTTTAACATCACAGCCTTTGTATGTTTGGAAAATGCCTTGTGCTGAAGATGTCTACACTACAAGTTACCATTATTCGAAAGGTGGTAGTGTTAAACCTGGTTTAACCTTTCCAGGTTAAATCAGGATGGCCAGGAAATTATTTTCTAAGCACAGTTATTTTTGTTTGCTTGAGGGTGCATTTGAATTTCATGGCAGTTACAATGTCCTACAAGACCTGTTTCTGAAAAGGATGCAAATTTTCTATGTGGGTAAGGAAGCAAAAAAGAATAGTCAGGTGTTTAACCTCTTCTGCCTTGAGAAATGGCTGCTACAGCCTTATACTTCTGGTTAGTCTGGTATAGAGCAACAAGGGAGAGTCCTCTCACCTGATGTTTAACAATTTTATAAGATTGCCACAAACATGGTTTTTAGCTGTAATACAGTGCAATCGTAGCAACAGGAATAATTTTTTAGTTATGTTTAGGAGGGATTTCTGCCTTCTAAAAAATGAAAATAAACCCCATCCAAACACCCCCAAATGGCAGAAAGGAGCAAGTGACCATGGAAACGGAGACTCTGTCTCTGATTGGAAATGGCTTGAGTCATGCTCATTGTGAACAAAGGGAAATCTGCCAGTATGTAGGCAATTAGAGTTTTCTTCCTGAAAGCTTCAAACGGAGTCCTTGAAACAAGCTTTCGAAAATCCTGAAGCCTGTGCAGGTCTCTTATGCCAGTTATGTTAGAGGGTCTCCAAAAGCACACAATTGTGAACAAGGTCTTTGTGCTGAAAATGCAAATGGTTGTGGCTGATGCCTTTAATGGACAGTCTGCCTCTTGTACTCTCAATGTAGCAAATTTTTGATCAAAGGTCCTTATTCCTTAACATTCTCTGCATTTGTGATTGACTAAACTGGATTAGATCTACGAAACATGTGAGTAGCTCACACCAGAAGCTTCAGGGAATGACTGGGCTGCCAGCTTCCTGTGTGCATTTGAATGGCAAGAGGACAAGTGACTGCAGATACTAGAAGTGGAATTTAAGGGCACAGCCAAAGTGGAAACAGAAGTTTGTGCTATCCAGTTTCTCACAGCTGGCTAAGAGATGTGACTTTCATTTTCTACCTATTGAAGAGCTAGGAAGGGAAGGGGTCACTGAAAATATTTTAGAGAGATCTGGTTTTAAAGATTTTTATCTTAAAAAGCCTTCAGTATTTTTGAGTATATTCTTTTATAGGACTCCTCTTTCTCCAGATCATCTCTACCTCCAGAATCCCAATTATTGAATGTTATCTCTCTGCAGTGGAACAAGTCATTGGAAGGTTTTCATTAATTATGAAAAGGTTATGAGAGCCACACAAATGGACACATAATGGACACATAATGGTACCTGCTAAATAAAATTTAGTTCCCACAAAGGAACAGCTACTGTATGCATTTAATTCATGAATATTTTTCTGTACCTTTTATAAATAAAGAGATGCAGATTATAATTTTAACAAGTTTTTGGGTTTTTGTGTGGATGGACACATAAAATGCTTTTAGGAACACCTGGATAGCATGAATATTTTCTTTCTATGTGATCAACTGCTATACTGTTCTTGAAGGAGTTTCATTAGTTCATTCTGTACTGTAATGGAAGTGATTTTGTTCAATTCATTGTTCATGTCATGTTTTTGAAGTCCTTCAGACTTCTCGCCTAAAACACAGACCTGATTCCCGAAGTCTCTAAATTACTCAGAATAATTTCAAATATAAATTTAAGAATAAGCAAAAGTAGGTATTATCTAGAAGAACTTGCAAGTGTTTGCATCCTTTCACAAAGCAACTCAGCTTCAGTCACTTACTACTTGCCTCTGTAGCTGCAGAGGTAATACAGATTGCAGTAAGTAATACTGATTCCAGTAAATTTGGTGGTTGACACTCTGGCAATATGGGCTCAACCAGGCACAAGTCATGGAACAGATCATCCTGAGTGCCATTATGCAGTGCATGAAGGACACCCAGGTGATGAGGCCCAGCCAGCACGGGTTCACGAGGGGCAGGTCCTGCTTGACAAACCTGATCTCCTTCTATGACAAAGTGACCCACTTGCTGGATGAGGGAAAGGCTGGGGATGTTGTTTATCTGGACTTCAGCAAGACCTTTGATACAGTGTCCCACAGTATCCTCCTGGAGAAACTGGGTGCCCATGGCTTAAATGGGCACTCTGCACTGGGTTAAAATCTGGCTGGAGGGTCAGGCCCAGAGAGTGGTGGTGAATGGAGTTAAATCCAGCTGTTGGCTGGTCAGGAGTGGTGTCCCACAGGGCTCAGTACTGGGACCCATTCTCTTTAACATCTTTATCAACAATCTGGATGAGGGGATCGAGTGCACCCTCAGTAAGTTCGCAGATGACACCAAGCTGGGTGGGAGTGTTGACCTGCTGGAGGGTAGAGAGGCTTTGCAGAGGGATCTGGACAGCCTGGATTGATGGGCCGAGGCCAATGGGATGAGATTCAAAAGGCCAAGTGCCAGATCCTGCACTTGGGTCACACCAACCCCAGGCAGCACTACAGGCTGGGGGCAGAGTGGTTGGAGCTGCCGGGCAGAAAAGGACCTGGGGGTGTTGGTCGACATCAGGCTGAACATGAGCCAGCAGGTGTTATGGAATGGACAACAGTAATTATACTGAAATTCTAAGAGAGCTTATGTGTGAGGAGCTGGGTTGTTGAGCTGAGGTGGTAATGATTTTTATGTATTCTCGTTACAGATACAGTTGGTGTTACATTTCTCGTGATTCAGGCATCATCTGTACTCTGTAATATGTCTGCATATTGTGGTTTTCTAGCTGAAGGTGTCCATAATATGATACTTGACATATATTGCTGTTCTTCAGTTGGAGATTTCTGGATGTCAGGTTTAGGTTAAATTTTAATGATGGTTCATTTTCAATGTGGAAGAATGTAATTAAAATATTTAGACAAATTTTATTTTGTCCTAAGTGCATATGTAAGCATCAGTGTTCCTCTTCCAGTGTAAAAATTGCCACTATGAAGAAGAATGAAGGTTGTTTCTGTGCCTTCCCTGAGAAATTCCATATGTTAACTTTTAAATATTTTTTTAATCCCTTGAAGTCTGAATTTCATTGATTTCATCTTTGCTTTGCAGTGAGACACTGTTCTTGTAAGCATTTTTCCCCTTAAGGTTTTGATACATGTCTTCAACCTTAATACTAGTTCAAACATACTTTGTTGAGAAAAGCTGAAATTCCTATTCCCTGTTAATATATTACTGCTCTTTTTCATGCCAGAATCACAGCATTTGTGAAACGGCCATAAAGAGTTTTCAGAAAACTCTTTGAAAAGTTATATCTTTGTATAGAAATAATTACGAGACTTTAGTAACCTTTCATTGTTTTGTTTTCGAATTTGTAGATAAATCTATTTTCCACACAAGTTTGGTGTCAACTTGCAGTAGAAGTATCTGGACTAGAGTTTAACTCTTCAACACTGTAAGAAGTAGTGCTGGTGTGTGCTATCCCCAAGGTTTGCAGTATTCTTATCCAGAATTTTGATTTAGATCCATCTTTAGTCTCTATGAATCCTAAGCAATGACAATAACATTCTTTTTTTTCTTTTCGTTCTTGAGTAGTTTTCAGAAAGGCAGTGAAACGTTTGCTCTAAAGCAAGCATTGTTTAGTTTGGATTTTTTTCAGTAGTTTACAAATCTGGGTGCAATGTAGAGTTGCTATTCTAATCTAAGCCCTGGAAGTTCCTTGGAAAAAGAAAATCACGTGATTTGCTTAGATTTCTCACTTCTCTGCCAGTGCTCAGGGACTAACAGTGTGCTGGGAAGAGGCATTTCCCGGCGGGAGAGCGACTGATTCATACTAGCTCACTGCCTTCGCTCACCATGGAAGCGTTCCAGCACCAGCTACTCACTCTTATTGGGGGTCTGATCTGTTTCTGTGCTCTGGTAAAATGCATCAGATTCATGAAATATATTTTCCCACGTGTCTGGAGTGCTTTGCCTGAGACTTTCTTTCGATCGCTGGGAAAATGGGCAGGTAAAGGAAACCTCTTCACCTTCTTCTTGTAATTGAGTAGTGGATTGTTACATGACTAATGGGGACTGGCTTTCTTTGCATTTCCGTACCCTGTCCCTCCAGAAAAAAACCCAGTTGCCACTAGGTGTGGTTTGTTTAATTTCTCTTTGTTTTTACCTTGTAACTTCAGTTTTATAAGCCTGAAGGTTTTGCATACTTGGGGAAAATAGAAAAGTAGTCAGACTCGTAATAGCTCACACACCCGGTGTGTAGGTGGGAATTCTCCCCCCATTCCTATCTGTGATTTTTTTTCTCTACTGCAAATGCTTTAGATTTAATAGCATTGTTTGTATCTTCAGTTTCCTGATATGTGAAGCAAGTAGTTTATTTGTAGCATACGGTGTCCACCTCTCAAAGCAACTTTTGTTTGTTCCCAGAAATGTTGGTCCAGTGTGTCTTTTCCAAACTGGTGACCTATCTTTAATGGTATCATTAACCAGCCAAATCTACTCTAGCCTAAAAACATCAAGGGCTGCAGCTTGGCAGCACTTTTTGAAATATACTACACATTCTCATAAAATTACAGAAATGTTTAATAAACATCTTTTTCCTCCTACTGTTAGATTGTTAGATTATCAGTGTGAAACAAGAATGAACAGGTATACGGTTTCTGGGCTGCAGATGTCACTAATGAGAATGTCATCTTGATAAGAAGTGACCCGAACAGTACACTTGTGCCTCGTTCCTTTCCCTTGCATTAGACTTCTTGTGACTGGAATGAATATGTGCTAAATGAGCACATCTCACAGCAGGTTAATAAGAAATGAAACCCTTGTGCACAAGACCTGCCCGAATACCAGCTGCTACTGAAGCAATATGTAGGTCTCGTTTTGATTTAAGTGGGGCAAGGATGTCCATTCTGTGCATGGGGTGAGAAGCAGGATGGGGAACTTTCTGTGTAAGATCCTTGTTTCCGCTTGAGGTTGAGAAACTTGTTTCCTTCAGTGGACCTTTTATGTGCTGTCCTTTTGTAAACAGAAAGTCTTAGGGGGCCCTGTAAAATTCATCAGGCTTGCATGATTTGCTGTATCGTGGCACGAGATCCTGGAGAATCATGGAAATTAAAGTTGGCAGGTAGAAGCTTGTTTCCCAGCAGACTTCCAGCAGATGATACCATCTGCGGGTCTGCTAAAAAGCTGAAGATCCACTGCTGCTTCACTGAGGGGTCTCTTTTCTCTGTGAAATGAGAGAGTAATCACTCTTCTGTTGCTAGCAAACCTAGCCGTTCAAAATCACCTTGTTTCCCCAGTGTATCTTGCAATTTTAAAGTCCTTACTCTACACCTTTTCAACATGGACTAATTTTCTGTTTTGCTCTGATAACATGCCAGGTTTAGCTTGAAATTACTTAGATGCTTTTCTCATTAATTAATTTATTTATTTCTAAGTTGATAAGGATCTTCTTTCTGTAGTTCGTCTTTGCTATTTGGTTGTGTAACATTTAAAGTTCATGGTGCTTTACAAATGCCAAAGCTCGTTTATTTTCCCAGCAACACTAAATCTGAATGTAAACTGAGTAGGACGGCACGGAAGGAGACCTTTTTCTAGATGGTGGAAAATCTGCTATATGTTTTCTTACAAACTGATTTCTTCTGTGAGAAATACTCAACTAGTTCTTAACTCCTACCATTCTGCTACCAGCATATGTGACAAAATTGCGAAGCAGAACTTGTAAAAATATGTATATGGAAGAAAATTCTACCATCTCTCAGGCAGCTCATTTGTTGCTGAGGCAATTGTTGCTTAGGTGGTTGATTTGTTGCTTGTTGTTGACCCCACAGAAAATGAGAGTAATAATTATCTACTGCATTAGACAGATTACTGTGGGGAAGGATTTGCTTCGAAGACAAAAAGTGCTAAATGAAGTAATAAAAAGATGACAAGGTCATGAAAAAATACATTTTTTAAGAGACTGATTCTGTCCTTTAGTAGAAGCATTTAGGTTGCAATGTTCAAGAAACACAAATAGTGAGGATTAAAGAAGTCAAGAAAGAACAAGTCAAAGCAAAACTCTAAATACAATCCCTCTTCTTTTTACTTCCTCCAGTGGTCACAGGAGCAGGAGATGGCCTTGGAAAAGCGTATTCCTTTGAGGTAAGACAGATTATTTATCCTTAAGTTTATTTTAACAAAATGGCAATTGTTACTGCTTCATCAGTTTCTGCAAATTAGTTAAATTGCTCTAGGATTCAAAAGCACTGTGACAAACAGGGTGCTAATCCTTCTCCCCTGAATGTCCACCATTAATCAAGTTCTGAAGGGAAACTGCTGCTGCATTTCAGAGGAAAGTCATTCATACCTCAATGGTCTTATCAGACCAAGGAAATAAAATGAGTAATTCTAAAGATTTCACATTGTCTGTCCAGGGTAGGAAGTCTCCTAAATTGTCCTTTTTTTCCCCAGTTTCACAAGCTAATCTGCTTTTTGACTTTCGGTGGTCCAGCATTAACACACAAAATGTAATTTTCTAACCTTTACACTTGCAAACACATTTTGAAAGATGTATCTGAAATAACAAATAAAGGAGAAATTTGTATAAATGAATAAAAAATACAACTTATGGAAACTGTAAAGAAACCTAATGGTTTAATTGAAGGTAGAAGTGGCCTTGTACTGTCTCGTACCAGCCTTGCTATTAGTGGTAATGACGGAACAGTAGATTTTCTCTTCGGTGTCTTCATTCAAAACTGTGTCCCTTTATAGACACTAAAGAACAATGAAACATGAGTTGTTGTCTTCAGGGCTGAAGTGACCAGGAGAAAATTAGCAGCCTGTAATATGCAAGAGTTTAGATGTGATGTCTTCTGCTCATAAATTATAAAACGTATCTCACAGGAAAGGAAAATGAGTTGGCTTTTGAATTAATTTGCAGGATTTTTAGGCTAATCTTTTTAAGTGTATGTACTGGGTAAGTCCCCACCTCACGATTTTCATTACTGGGAATGGCAGTATAATAACTACTTTCAAAAGTGCATTGAATGTAGGAAGCACAAAGACAAATACGAGGTATTAAAGTTTAACATCTGGCATAACTGTGATACAGATCACACGGTCTTCCGTGGGAGAGAAGGGAAAATGTTGCCTTCTGTTTACTCGCTGAGTTACTGTAGTGAAGAGCAAATGGGAAGGGTCTGATGAATACATAGGTTAAGGGTAAATGGGATGGGATTGAGACAGGTGAAGAATCATCAGAAATGCTTAAACATTTATTTAACACCATGCCTTTGGGTGTGGTCATCGGCACATGCAGCTTGCTGAACTGACTTTGTGTGTAAGCAGGTGCTAAAATTTTATGCATGTGAAGACTGCAGGAACCTGTGAATGTCTAGATTAGAGCCTCTGTCATTGTTCTGCTTCTTTTGTGCTATGTGCATTATGCAAGAGTAAATCCCATTTAAAAGGCCAGCTATAGCATGCAAATGACTGCTTTATACCATGAGAAAAAATAAAACAACTACCGTGTTGTTTTTTTTTAAAAAAAATCTTGCCTGGAACTGGCTAGGTTTTGTGGAATATTTGTTCATTATTTTTGGCTTGCGTGGGATGACTAAGAATGAGCTTTATCCAGGCTGAGATGTACCTTCCTCCCCAGGTGGTCCCTTTGATTGGAGTTGTGCTCAGCTACTGCTCTGTGGGGCAGATCCCAAGCCCACACCATATGAGTTCATAGCTTGGCACGTCATCTTGGTCAAACACACACTTATGTGTGGCTTGTGGATAAATAAATCTGACCCTGCCATTTTAATATCTGTGTGTCTTTGGAGTTTCTGGCTCAGCACTGCTGTCTTGCTGATCTCATGTCAGGGTACAAAATTTTCTGATGTTCTTCTGGCACAGTTTCCTCTGGTGTTATGGGCTGCTGTGAAGGCAAGCCTTGTTTGATGGTCACAGTGTCCGTTCTTCTAGAGTTTGAGCTCTGACACCAAGTGACGAATTTCTTTCTGACACTGAGCTCATGCATGGGCTGATAATGATTCACAACTAATGTAAGGTCTCCACACTTTGTAGTACATGGTACAAGAGACTAAGGAGAACAATTCTTGTGTTTTGGAAGGCAAGTGTGATGTGACTTCCTCTGTTCAGTGTTCTATGTGGAAATCCCAGTAGGCGTTCATTTGGTAAAACCTAGCAGAGTGAGATCAATGCAAAGATTACATTATTTACTGGTTCAGTACCCTTGTTTCCAAGGTTTATGGCTAGATACAGGTCTCTGCAAAGTCTGTTAAACTCAAGAGCTGGTGCTGCATGAAGAGCCTTGCGGCTGTGAGGTCTCAGAACAGTACTTTGTTGATATCAAGACACAGATTTTTCAGAGCAAATTATTGTGTCTTTAGTTTCCTGAGCTTGTGTTGAGAGGCAAGCACACACAAAACTTGAGCTCATCCTCTTCTGCATGAATGTCCAGGCTTCCATGAAGGCTCTGTCTGTATTTCTAGCACATCAGGGTGACTCTGAAGGACCGGCATTCTTGAGCATAAAGACCCTGAACTTTTAGCTGACTGCTGTGATGTCAAAGTACTGGGATTTTGAATCTGTTTTGCTATACTTATTTCAAAAATTTGGTCCATTAGTTCTTGGGCTAATGGGGTTTAGACTTACCAGACTTATAGCAAGGAACAAAACCAAGTCAACTCTGAGTGTGCTGCTAGTCTGTCAAATCTCTACTCAGCTCTTAGCATTTCAGGTAGTGGTGCAGTCTTCTTTGTTAGGTTTTCCTCATGTAATATCTATAGATCTGTATTAGCATCTTTTACTGACCTAGCATCTCAAACATACTGCATTGATGGACAAGGCAATGCCATACTCTGAGATTTACAGTTTAGCTTCTGCGTACTTTCAATCTCATGTCAGGGCACAAGCAGGTTGTTGGTGGCTCACATGCTCACCATTTTTGTTACTGTTAATAATTCATAACTCTGTTATAAATCAGGCCAGCACTTGTGTCTAGTCAGTGTTGTCACAGACTGTTTTGAGACAGGGACCACATTCATTTGTTAATACAACAGTTTCTCAAATCTTAAACCTTTGTTCCATTTCCTGATATTGTTCTTAGTACTACCATCAGTGTAATACAAGCTAAATATGATCTGCTGTTTCCTGCTCCAGGAAGATATTCTAATATCAACTAATATGCAAAGATTTCTCCACTTGGTCTTGGATTTATTTCTGGAAATACTGCTATTCTACATGCATTACACAGGTGAAGAGCTAGCAGAAAGATTGCAGAATCCTTCTGCCTTGTCATCTCATTCCTGGTCTCCTGGTGCTAAAAAGGTTCAAACACTTGAATCATAGAGAGAGGTCTGAAACCCACGCAAGGAAAAAAAAAAGGGTGAAGCACTGCGGTCATATCAGCACACTCCTGAAGAATAAGAAGATACAGAAGAAAATAATCTCTTTTTAATAGGTAGAAATTTACAGTAGATGGCTGCAGAATCCTTAAAGCACTATTAGGGATTTTAAATTATTACATCTAATGATCCATGTAGAGATCCAATTTGTCAGGGTAACTGTAGTAATTACATGCATGGTTTGAATCTAAAACCTGTGTCTTGCCTTTCATTAAGCTTTATTGTTTAAAAATTCACCTCAGGCTGAGCTGCAAAAATACGCTAGAAAATGCAGAATGACTTTACACTAATTTAATGTACATTTCAACTTTTTAACCTTGAGTTTATGAGACTCCAGAACGCATATTCTGCTTGATCTTTCTTCATTGTTAGCCCCATTTCTAAATGCTAAATTGTCATAATTTGTTATGGTTTGAGACGGGGATAATCTTACGTTTTGGCAGATTGAGGTTCAAGAGCATTTGAGTCCTTTGCCACTGGGAGTCAGGATTTCCTAACACAAGCAAGTTCATGTTAAACAGTGCTAGGAGCCAGTCCTTATTCTTAACTGTGAGGGGAAATACCATCCTTTAACATCACAGCCTTTGTATGTTTGGAAAATGCCTTGTGCTGAAGATGTCTACACTACAAGTTACCATTATTCGAAAGGTGGTAGTGTTAAACCTGGTTTAACCTTTCCAGGTTAAATCAGGATGGCCAGGAAATTATTTTCTAAGCACAGTTATTTTTGTTTGCTTGAGGGTGCATTTGAATTTCATGGCAGTTACAATGTCCTACAAGACCTGTTTCTGAAAAGGATGCAAATTTTCTATGTGGGTAAGGAAGCAAAAAAGAATAGTCAGGTGTTTAACCTCTTCTGCCTTGAGAAATGGCTGCTACAGCCTTATACTTCTGGTTAGTCTGGTATAGAGCAACAAGGGAGAGTCCTCTCACCTGATGTTTAACAATTTTATAAGATTGCCACAAACATGGTTTTTAGCTGTAATACAGTGCAATCGTAGCAACAGGAATAATTTTTTAGTTATGTTTAGGAGGGATTTCTGCCTTCTAAAAAATGAAAATAAACCCCATCCAAACACCCCCAAATGGCAGAAAGGAGCAAGTGACCATGGAAACGGAGACTCTGTCTCTGATTGGAAATGGCTTGAGTCATGCTCATTGTGAACAAAGGGAAATCTGCCAGTATGTAGGCAATTAGAGTTTTCTTCCTGAAAGCTTCAAACGGAGTCCTTGAAACAAGCTTTCGAAAATCCTGAAGCCTGTGCAGGTCTCTTATGCCAGTTATGTTAGAGGGTCTCCAAAAGCACACAATTGTGAACAAGGTCTTTGTGCTGAAAATGCAAATGGTTGTGGCTGATGCCTTTAATGGACAGTCTGCCTCTTGTACTCTCAATGTAGCAAATTTTTGATCAAAGGTCCTTATTCCTTAACATTCTCTGCATTGTTTCAGAAGAGCCCAACAGGACAAACTGTTTCCCTCAAACAGGTTTAAGGAGAAAGCCCTGAAGGGAGTCAGCTATGGAAATGAATGAGTCTTCAGTGTGTGGCCTTTGTGGGCTAGTTTCTTCTTCTAAGCAAACCTGGTACTTTCAGGCAACATTGGCTTTATCTTTTGTGCTGACTAATTTAGTTCTCTTTCTCCTTGCTCTCAAGAGCATTTTTCTAGTTTAAGCTTTATCTTTCCTCTCTTTATGCACACAAATCCATTCAGCTTCCACCTGTTAATAACTTAGCTTCAAAAGCTGGGGCTGTGTTTCTCTCTCAGGCTTTGCCTAAAACTCTTTAATTGATGGGAATGGGAGGCCTCAGGAACATTCTTTGTTTGTTCTGCATTTGTTCTGCACATGGTAATACCAAACTCTCTATAAACAGGCTGCTGTGTTAAATAGTGTTCTCAGCTATAAACTTCAAGTATTGCTAGCATTTCTGTGGATATAAATGTGTGTGACTGTATTTTGAGTGGACTTCTCCTTTTTTCCTTGGTTTCTTTCTTTTTTTTAGTTTGCATCTAATGAAAAAAACAGTTAAAATTTATCCATCTGACCTGCATCAGATTTTATTTCTATTAAAAAATATGAAAAAAGTTCAAATCCCTTCAAACTCGTGAGCTTTCAATTCAATATCCTTAATCTACTTCCTCAGGATAAAAAAAAATGTGAGGATGGAAGGTGATGTTGTAAAATGACTAGGAAGTAATCAACATATTTGGCCTCCGAAATCCAAGTAGAAATAAAAATATGTTTCTGGGAAATGTCACGTTGCTTTCTTTCCCTGCCGTCTTTCATTCATTTGAAATTGGCTCATATTATTTATTATTGTTCATATTATTGGTGTTTGATTGTTGTCCAGTATATTTTTCTTGTAAGGGTCCAAGGAGGTGTTTTGGAAGATTGTTAGAAGACTGATTATTATTTCGCCTGGTTTTAATATCTGTTGTTTACCCATTAGGCAGATGCCAGGTGAAGGAAAGCAGTTTAAAAAATCCACAATTGCTTTTATTGTGAAACTGGGAAAAAATTGAAACATTCTTGTCCCTGCTTTCTAACAATTTTTATATTTTTGTCTTGTAGCTGGCTAAGCGTGGATTAAATATAGTTATGATAAGCAGAACTCTTGAAAAACTGCAGAGAGTAGCCTCTGAAGTTGGTAAGTGTTTGTCTCAAACTTATCTTCCCATTTATCAGGCTGGCTTTACAGGGGTCTGGAGGTCTCTTCCCTTGGTACAGTATCTAGTACTGTAGGACCCCAGATATTGCTACAGATATAACCCCAGCTATACTGCAACACTACAAGTAGGTTTTCACATTACTGTGTTGCTTGAACCCTTCTAGTCATGGATAACTTCAAAAATACACGCTATCATTCCAAATCATATCATATCAAACCCAGTGCAATGGGTTTGATAAAAAAAGTGAATGTGGGCTCTTTATTGGCTTCATCTGCCCTTAAAATCTGCAAATACAGGCAAAGGAGATTGTAATACTAGAGCTGTCAGGGGGATCAGTGAAGCAGCTTGTGCTCGGGCAAATAAGGTTACCCTTAGGCTTGTTCTTGGAACATAGCAAAGGAAGAGTTAAAATGAAATCAAGGTAGCTGGTTTGGTTTTGGTTCATTTGGTTGGTTTTCAAAGGTTTTCAAGTTACATTTGGCTTTCAATAAAGCAGTTAAATAGTGTGCCTTTCAAATTAATATTCCCTTTCTTTTCTTCAAAGGAAATTAGCCATTTACACTGGGGAATGGGTTGTTTAAATACACTAAGATTGACTGTTAGGATTTCTCTAGGAGTCAAATGAATGTATATCATCCATTGCTTTCAAAGATGGCTGTAATAAAGATTATTCTTCCCACTGTCACTTTTTCTATATGTGGCTTCTATCTAAGAGATTCCTTGAGCTAAGCATGTGTCACTCCAAGACTTCACCTCTGTCAGAAAGACTTGCCTTTAAGCGGGCTCAGCAGCTGACTCTAACAGAGCATCAACTCCAGGATACAAAGCAGTGCATCTCTCAGGGACGTGGCAGACTTGAAGTGGGTGAAAATGTCTGTAACTTCTCAACCTGCTGCTACCAAAATCAAGGATTGGACCCTGAAATTTTCTGTCCATTTTCCCTCCCTTTTTTTTCTTTTCCAGCTATAGACTCGTTTTCCCTTGTAAAGCAAGGGCTGTTAGAGGAGGAAAGTACCAACTCCCTGAATAGCCTCTACAAGCAGTCATATCCGTGAGATTAATGTAAATATGGCCTACACTAACCCCTCTTAAGTAAATAACCATAAAAAAATATTTTCTGTGGGAATTTGGTCAGCTCTGGTGTTATTGTTACATTTCTTTGCAGCTAAATGTGAAAGAATTACAATAATAGAAACCTGAAGAAAAAAAAGGCTTAAGCGCTTTTATAGTTTCTTTGCATTGTAAATTATAATCAGAAGCAAACAAAGAAAACAATAAGATTCCTGAGACTAACAAGTAAAGAAAAAAAGTAGTGGAGGGCTGGAAAGATGACCTAATGTAAATTCCTCTGCACTATGATTTATTTTAAGGCCGTCCACTGGCCACTTTCCTAATGGAGGCTATACTGTGCTGAGTTGTATAGCAGCCCATAACAAAGGACTTGCCATGTTCTGAAAGGTACTGCCAAGATACCCTATGCTGAAACACTCCTACACCTTGTGCAAAATGCCCCATGACTTTTCACGTGAGGAAAGTTCACCAACTGCAGCAGTGTTATTTGTGTAATCCAAGGTGCTGGGAGGTGGCTGGTGTGACTCTAGGAGCTCAGGCTACCCTGATCAAGTTTCTGTGATGTGATGTTCAGCCAGGTTCTGGGAATACAGAGTCATCCCCAAAGTTGCTGAGATTGGTGGTAAATCCCAGTGAGATCTTTCCATTGTTTTTAGTGGGTTTTGGCTGAAGCCCAGAGTGACTCATGTGTTACTTAGTTTGTCAGGTTGGAAATAAGTACATAACAACAAGAAGATGGCACAGACAAACAGAAAGAGAGGAAGATATAGTGATGAAAAGCATAGATTATCTGACCTGGAGGCCACTAAGATCAGCAGGGAGCTCTGGATGTGGGGTTATGTTAAAGCTTTGCAAATGTTCTACTGATTCCAATTTTCAAAGTCATGTGTTACTGTAATTAAGCTAAGCAGTCACTGGGAAGGAAGAAAAGTTAAACTTACTGTGATGTTATGTGAGTAAATGAACAACAGAAACCAAAAATGAAGCAGAAACATAACCAGAGTGATTGTACTGTTTTCTAAACTTTCTAACTCTCACTGACTTTTTCTTTCTAAACTGCTTAAACAGCAGAATCTTGCTCCAAGCGGCTATCATTACCCTGAACCAATTTGCAAGGAGATCAGGGCACAGAGAGAGAGAAAAGAAAAAATAATTTGTTGCAGGCTATGTAAATTTGTTGCAGAACTGCACAGGTTCATCTTGTTTCGTTTTTCTTAACTCTTACACTGCCCATCTTTCTGCAGTCAGTTGGACATGGTAATTACAAGACTTGCCTCCCTTCCCAAACTGATGATATTGTTTGCCTAAACATACTGTCACATTCAGTTTGGATACTGAATAATATAAACTAAAGGAGTCTAAACTGTGGGTAATTTCAGAGATCTCAGTGTTTGCCTTTCCAAGTCCTGTGGGCCACAGGTATGCCTGAGAACAGTTCTCAGAGCTGGAGCAGGCAGAAATCTATAGTAAGAAAAATGTTTCTCTAAAGAAGCACTGGAATTGAGAAACAGATTTCCATCCACTCTGTCTGAAAAGCTCTTTTAGAATGAGATAAAAGATAACAAAGTAAGTTTTGTGGAGGGCAGACAGAGGGGACCGTTACACCAGGTATACTGCTCATCTAACACAGTTAGTACTGTGGTTGTGAAACATTGGTCAAACCATAAAACTAGGAGATTAGAAATTATGGACTGCTATTAACTGCGCTCCTTTTTTATTTCTTATGCGTACATTTTCTAAGCAAGCTGTACAGGCAGAGCTAGGTCCTGATTGAAAAGTTAAATCTTAGGATCTCTTTATGTGATCAGGGTCTGTACTGTTTGGTTGTTAATGCCAATTAAACAAAAAACCCCACTTCTCTAAGACATAAAAATTATTCACAAAATGTGTGGTTGGAATTTTTTTTATTTGGTTGTTTTGGTTTTTTTTGGGGGGGGGTTTGAGTAGGGTTTTTTGGTTGGTTTGTTGGTTTGGGTTTCTTTGAAAAGGAACAAATCTGCATTTAAGGAAAGGTAAGGTTTGTGATTCTCAGAAAACAGTAGAAAATACAGCTGTACTAGTTTAGACTGAGTACACAGTTAGTGAGTTTGGGTTTGGTGATGCAGAAAGTAGTTTGTCCACATGTCCCTCCAGAAATTATTCCTGTTAATATAGAAGAAAAGCATGGAGTAAAACAGAACACCCCACATCCAGAGCCAAACATGCCTTGTTCCTGCTAAGGCCTGTGAAGGTGCTAATTCATTTGGCAGTCACTCCCCTGCTGGAGGTTCAGTTTCCAATTTGCTGTGTTGTGTCTGTGTCCTTTTCCTCTTGCCCTTGCCCTTCCAGCTCCAAGAGGTAAGCAGGTGGCAAGCTGAGATGACGGACTAGCATACAGGCTTGGTGCTTCCTTCCTTCATCCTCAAAGGCTCTTAAAAATGCCTGTTGTGTCTTGCTGATCCCTTGGGGTAAAACCTTATTGCTCAGGACTGTTCTTCCAATATGCATTACCACGTAACAGGGCACCTCAGGGCCTTGACCAATGTTCTGAGTGCTCTGGTAGCTACTAACAATTCCCATGGCTTTTTTTTCACTGAGTATGTGTTCTCTGGTACCTCCTAACATCTTTTGCAGCTCTGCTTTTACAGTCATTCTTTTTGTGTCTTTTCTATTTTCCTGATATTTCTGAAACCGAGTTATCTTATATTTCTGAGGAGATACATTTCTCCAAAAGACTTTCAAAAAGTAGCCAGACTTGTGCCTTATAATCTAACATAATTCTTTTTTCTTTCTCCCCAGTCTGAAATCTTTTTTAAACCTCTTTCTGTTGTTAAAGTAGCTTCTCATTTGGCCCTCCTCTCTGCAAATTTCCACCGGATATGAATGCCATCTTAGCTTGAATGCTTCTCTCTTCATATTCAAATTTTGTTGTAGTACTTCAAAAGGGTGTCCTCTTTCTACAAACATCGGTTCTCCTGTCACTCAGGCATTCATTTTGCTACCTCAGGTTTTCAGAGATGTTCATAACTCTCTAAAGGGAAAAGGAGAGTTTCTGGCAGAATGCATGTCCTAACCAACTTCATGCTTCATCCTGATTTATTCTCCTCTTGGTAAATTTCAAAAGGCAGCACATTATCCTTTCTGACAAGTGGGATTCCCCAGTGACCAGAGGTCAGAAGGAGTTGTATCCTTCTTAATGATACATTTCATAACACATCAGATTAAACTAATCAGTTCAAGTTTTTATTTTTCCTTAAACTGATTTTCTCTTCATTTTTGAAAAAAACAATAACCTGTGCTGATGTTTTAAAACCTAGCCTTTTTGCTTTCTGGCATACTTAGGACTTTTAAAGAGAGTTGAAATGACTTGTGTCTTCAAAGACTGTCATAGATCATTGGCACAGACAGGGAGAAACATAAGAAACGTTGGAAGTTATTTTTCAACTCTCTACTTTGCAGAATTATTATCATTTTCTGAAGAGATGTCCCTAGATAATTAATATATCAGTATGATAGTTTTATTGTTTTTTAATATATTGTTTCATTCTTAAATGAGACAGAGGAAAGCCATCTGTAGTACTTGTTTGCTGGCCAAGAGTGCTGGTTGCAGCAGTGCAGTTCTGTATGGACAGGGGGATGCTGAGAAAGTCCAAATGGTTTGTTTAATCATAATTTTTATATTGCTGTAGTTTTGGCTGCCCTTCTCATTGCTCACAAGAAAGATGGCCACAACGCCACTACATTTTTTAAGACCATCTTATTCTGTTTATAGAGCTCTTCAATCAGAAGGTCACTGTAGGTGCCTTCTCCAGCTCTTGCTCTGTTCTTTCCCTTTGCTGCATTTACACTCACAATGTCCTACTCTTTATAGTTGTCCCAGTCCCCTAGCTGGGGACCACTAAGGGGTCATTTGCCACTAGAGTTGGTTTTATAGGTTGAGGGTTCAAAGGCTGTTTCTTCCTTTTTATACACACAATGGCAGCTTGGAAAGAGGGCAAGAAAAAGGACACTCCTTCCTCCTTTCTTCTGTCATGGAGACAGATGTCCTCTAAAATTGCACACAAGATGCAGCCTATCTGGAGTCAGAGCATCTGCTGTTTCCTCAGACCACTTGTGTTACTTGAGTAGTGTGAAGTGGTCAACGCTTGCAATGTAGCAATGGGCAAGGAGGCAACAACTTCCACTCACCCTCCAATCCAGGCCCTGTTTTGTTGCAAACTGACCCACTGGACCCAAATCCAGCTTTCTGCCAGCCTTGCTCTCCTGTGGGAGCTGGAGCAAGAACATCTTCCTAAATTCTGAATATACACAAGGGATGAGGCAAGATTTCTGGGTGAAAATTAGTGAGTCTGATTCCTATTCAAGCTAATTCTCCCTGCCACTTGCATGATAAAATCAGGCTCCAAACAGAGACAGTTTCCCAAACAGGAAACTTTCTATCATCCAAATGCACCTGAATTCCTGCCACTTGCAGTGAGTCTGCAATCCCATCATCTACTGGTATTTCCAAGCTTGCTTGTCACTTTTTCAGCAAACTTCATCTGGATTTCAAGTTGCCCATAAAACTTGAAACCAGGTTTAGTGGCAAGAATTTATGATATGAACATCTAGTCAGAAGAGACCTTACTGGGCCTCTTTACAGGATAAGTTTGCATTTAAAATGAGTAAGTAAAGGCCTCCGCCTCTTTTTGTCATGAAACTTTGTTGAAAATATGAACAGAAATAATTCAAATGCTAAGAAAAATGGCAATGTACAGCTGGGCTCCACTCCTGCATAGCAATGACACTGCAAAAATCAAACACATTTCCCTTTCCTTTCTGTATACATTGACCTCGTAAAATTTAAGCTATCCCCTCCCTTAAATGCCTTTTGGTCCTGCAAAATCCCAGGGAAGGTTCAGTCTATGGGACTGTAAATGTCCAAATAGGAGAAAAGTTTTTGAAAATAATGCAGAAAAATATTGTATCACATCCAGCCCTGTTTTCCTCTCCTCCTAGAGGAAAAGATAAGCTCTGCTTGTTAAAATGTTCATCTTATACATGAAAACACTTTAAAAGAATTCTGCAAAACTAAGCTTATGTAAGGGATCTGGCATCCACATTCACTTGTCTAACATATGCTGACAATGTTAATTTATAAATATTATGATAACCAGGGGAAGAGGTCCTGTGTTGTTCATTTTGGGGATATATTTTTCTTACTGAAGGACTAAATGGTGTTTAGATTTTTGTGAGGGAATTTGCATTGATTTCAGGGCATAGCTTTGTCCTATATTTGCTAGGCCATATCCTTGAAAATGTGTGTTTTGCTTGTGTTTTGATCTTTCTTACAGCAAAAAAAGTTGAAACAATTTTTTACTGTACAGCAGACCTTACTAAATAAAACATCTGATTGTTTCATTACTTAATTATAGCTTTCCCTTATTCTGGGTAGATGCAAAGGGGCTTTGTATTTTTTTTTCTTCCTAATTACAGAGCAAGCCACAGGTCAAAAGGTGAAGGTTATACAAGCTGATTTCACCAAAAATTCGGTATACGAAGACATAGAAAAAAGTCTTCAAGGCCTGGATATTGGTGTTCTGGGTGAGTCACTGAAGTCTCTTAATTTTATGGTTGCAGTGATTAAAAAGAGAATTGTATGAATGATGTCTTATAGCAACTTGTTAACCAGCACTTAAAACCAAGCGTACAGCTGCCCAATGTGTTTGAGCACTAGTTATCATGAAGAAGTTTCAAAAGTGAATTAGAATTTTCCAAAGTCTTCCTGTTTCTCTCTACTGTGGCTTCTTTACTGTAAAATCTCTTCTGCTGCTTCACAGCAGCTTGTGGGGTGACTTATTCCCTGTTTAGCCTCAAGGAATTAATTTTTGCTATTGGTTGTTTTACAGCTGTGTGCAATTCTTATATTCAGTATGAAATGAGCCTGTGGCTAACACAAATTGGTATGATCCACATAGCAACAATGAAAACGTGTTTTGGGGGGAAGTTTTGGGTTTTGCTTTTGTTTTTATTTTAAGAAAATCATGCTTTCAATAGTGAAACAAATGAAACAACAACAAAACACAAACAAGGAAACAAAACCCCAAACTGTAGCAATAGACTGTTTTTCTGTTCTGTGAAGTCAGTACTGGTCAGTACCAATGTCTTCAGTGAGAACAAAACCCAGTGCTAAACAGCATTTCTCATCAGATAGAGCTCAAAAGCTTTTGAGTCTCAAGGAGATGCCATTTGTTTGACTAGCTGAAATATGCACTTTGTCTAGATTTGGTTCTTATCATTATGTTTCCTTTGATTAGTTAACAATGTTGGAATGCTTCATAATCCTCTTCCATGCCGTTTCCTTAATGGACCAGACATAGATGAGGTAGGATTACACTGTGGGTTTCTACTTCCAATATAACAATGAGAAACTGTAATTCCACTTAACAAGGGACAAATTCTGCCCCTGCTGCAATCAGAACTTATTTGTTCAGTTGAGTGGGAAAAGGACTGGGCCTGAAGGAGTGTGTTTTGATTTGGTTTTGCAAAGCTCAGAAGAGCTTGCAAGACAAAAAGAGTGGTAGATTTCAGCTCACCTGCAGCATGTGCTCTGCCGTAGAGGGGAGAGCACAGCTCTCCTCCTCATAGCAGGGATCAGTAGCCTCTCTGGTTCACTGGTCACAGGTAATGTGATGGGGTCCAGTCTGGTCACAGCCACAGCTGAAGCGTTCAGTTCTTGTTAGTATCATTAAAACATACTTTCTGTGGGGCACCACTGCTTAGGTATGTAAAAAAAAAAAACAAAAAAAACACCTCATTTAAATACAATTTACCTTTTTTGGGGGGGGGGG